ATGCGTGTCTAGTGCTTATTATTAGTGCAGATCGAATGCTATCGACCATGTTGCAATATGGCCACCAGCCTAGGTGGCTCGACACTGCGTGCATTATTCCTGTTAACTACCTTCAACCACCGTCTAACATCACAAAATTCTTTAAATTAAAAGTGAAAGTATGAACTGTTACAGTAGATGATTGGAATGAACAAACAAATTAAGTTCAACATAAAGATTTACTAAATACATGAATGTTCAAGATGAAATTCTGAAAGTTTCAACGTTCAAAACTGCAATTGATTTTTTACAACAAAAGCAACGACAAATCATACAAATTACTTTTATTTATATTCATATTACTAAATATGAAATGTAATCCATCGTTTGATCCTTAAACAACAGTACAATGTCTTAAATGTAACACTATACGTTGTGTGTTAACGTCAATATAACTCATAATGAAAAACGAAACAAACAACTAATATACACAAAACTTCATAAGATTCACTTCACTAATGAAATCATATTGAAATATAACACTGTTATCCTTTATTGATACCATTACTAGATACGTCATAAAAGATGATAAACTAATGTAGGAAATACTAATCAATCGTTATATCATCTGGAGGATAGAAAGCAAACGTTCAGGCTTAATTTGTAGTATCGGTTACACTATGTTAAGCCTCTATATAATGTATTCTATCTTCTGAACAGGTCAATTTATAGTGACTCACGTGCAATCGAGTTTAGTTCAGTCAAGGTCTTTTGTTGACCTATTTAATGGACAAAGTCATCCATGATATAACAACTTGTTTTACTATCTTCCAGTGAGAAGTAGTGACCAGTGGAGTTCAACCGGGTCTGTTGTGAAATAGTAACTCACTGATGATAATGGTGGATCTGTCGCTCAATTTCGTAGATTATTTGAAGTTAGACATAAACTGTTGGATGCCGGCCAGCTCAGTGGTCTAGTGGTTAAGCGTTCACGCGCGACACTGATACGTCCTGGGTTCGAATCTCGCGAGGTAGGATCACGGATGCGCACTCATGAGGAGTCCCCCAATAGAACGAAATGGCCGTCCAGTGCTTCTAAGTTTTCCATGGTGATCTAACTTCAATTGACATATGATCTCAACTATTAATTTTCTACTTCAAGAAGCTTTCATCAATTTTTTTCAGAAAGTTACTTGTTATTGTTGGTAAGATAACTAGTCTTAAAACCACTCTATCGTTTTCCAGTAAAAAATATTGTTTTGAACGTCAACTACGTTTCTTCTACACAAATCCGAATCTTAGACATCCATGCTTATTTTTCATTTCATTAATTATATACTTAAATGAAATTCCATCTACTGATGGAGACGATTACAGGTAATCTGACTTATAAATAATCATTTCCAGTAGTAAGTTTTTTTTCTTTAAAAATATAGGGCTTTTAGCTCAGTGACACAAAGAGGTTAACTTCTTGATGATGGGTGGTGATTGAAATTATGGTCTGACTGGCCATTGGGTGCAAACAGACAGAAATTCAGTTTGATGACTATCTAATATATGATTCCGTACCTACGATTATTTTCTACTTTATACTCACTGAGTGTATACTGCTGGTAACGGTGTTTGATGAAGTATCTAGCTCATACTCTGTTAGTTTGTTTTTGGTCAAATGTGTATCTCATCTATGATATAACCTTCGTAAAGTTTATCGATCAATGATCTAGTATAGTGGTAATATTATCTCGGTCACCGGTCTTATCAACGTGATAGTGATATCATTGGAACAGAGAATAGTCTCATCTTACTGTGATGTCACAGCCCTACAACAACTCGTGATATATATATTACTCTCATTTCAAAGTTATTATGAATTTAGCTGAAAAAACTGACTATTTACCCTTTATACTTCATTAATAAGAACACATTTTGGTTATGTAGAACCAAAAGCTGATATTGTTATCTAAAGTGACCATGATAACTACAAAATCCAACCACCTATTTAAGACAAATCAACTCACACATCAGTATCCATCTAGGTCACAAATCTTTTCTGCCATTTCAGTATTAGATCATTTAATAACATCATTTTCATGTCGAACGGTAAGTACCAAGTCTATCAGAGTATCGCCTTTATTATTTTGAGAAATCTGTTTATCTGTGATAATTTTTTTGTCATTCGATAAACGTAAAAACTTTGGAAATTCAGGGTAAAGATAACGAATCAGCCGATAAGACTGTAAATCTTTATCGATTGAGATGATTGTGACATGTATTACGCATGAACAACCAATGACTACACTTATGCACTAGTGTAGTGGGTTGAAAGGTAGGAGGAAGCGAACTAAAATGTGACGTCAAATTATGAAGTTACTAACTAATGATTTGACTCATGTTGTTAAGTTCAGACCACTTCATTGCGGTTCGCACAATTACTGTGACCACTGGTCGAACACTTTGGGTGATGTTTTAGAACCGGTTGCAGTAGCTCAGACGCATCCACTCCTTATCTTTAGTTAGATTCAGAATTTTGGAATTATTTTATAACTCTCATACCACAAACTTATTCATTCCTCCTAAATTATATTATTCATGCTTTATCTTTCTTCCTAGGACTGATACAATTTTTAACTTGGTGTTCATCGTAATAACTTCATTTAGCTGTACTGATATGGTGTGATAGCCCAATTTGATGTATATATAGGGCAAGTTCTATCCCACTTATGTTTGACTGACCGATTATCACTGGCTAGGAAAATCTCAATAAAAACAACCGCTACTGCAACCTTGATTTACTACTTATTTCATTTAAAATGAATGCCATACACTTAAAACTAAAATTCTATCTAACCGATGCCAGTAAGTATGATACAACTATATAGCTAAACATGTATTTAGAAAATAACTAAATTATCGATAATAATTTATGTGATAGCACAAACTTTAATTGACTTTTTAATCTAACTCGTTCAACATGGGTGTGAAGAATGTTAGATTTCATTTAAATCACGAACTGATTCAAGTTAGACCAATCGAGCTAAACCGTGTTGGATGTGAAGCAGTTGCCCACCAAAGATACTACAGGAAGGTTGTGCAATATCGTGCGGTGATTAAATTTAGACCACTGGATCCTGACTCACTAGTCTACAGCTTAAGCATTCGTGAACGAGACTGAAAGTTCTAGATTCAATTCCTGATTGTGGATGAGCACTACTGAGTAGTCCCACACTAAGGCGAAACAGTCATCTATTACTTGTCTAAATTAAACTAATTCGTGATTTCAATAAAATTATCCAATAGGATTTTATCATCACTGACGACCAAACAATTCACGTATAGTTGAGACCATGAGTCAATTGAAGCTAGACCACCATGGGAAGTCTGGAAGCACTGGACGGCCGTTTCGTTCTATTGTGGGACTCCTCAGCAATGTGCATCAACAACCCCGCTTCGCGAGATTCAAACCCCCGATCTATCAAGTCTCGCGCGCGAGCGCTTAACCACAAGACCACTGAGCCGGTCAGTATTCAACGGTGTTAATGTGTAACTTTAACTAATTCACGAAATTGAGCGACACATCCACCATTGTCATCAGTGAGTTACTGTCTCACAACTGAGGAGTCCCACAACAAAACGAAACGGCGGTCCAGTGCTTCCAGACTTTCCATGGTGGTCTAGCTTCAATTAACTCATGACATCAACTATTGAAATTACTACAATCTCCACAAAACCCTTTCTGATACTAATTCACATATACTTAATCCATATAAAAGATGACAATCAATGAAGATAGAGTATATTTTCATTTATTTAATAAAATTTCAATAAGTAGGAAGAATTGTCAAATTTAGCGCAACAATATAACTTATAAAGTATTTGCATATAGAATATTGAAGGATAAGATTCATATTATTTAGGATTAAATAAAATCAAAAAAGATAAAACTATCATTCAATGATCGTGATAATTTACAATGAATCTGAGACATTGATCGAAAGAAAATAAGAAATAAATTTATTCAATAATATAAAAGATTATGATACGATCTTTTTTTCTCTCAATTAGAGGATTTTAGCGCTTTTCAACAGTTGAAATCATTAGTCAATTGAAGCTAGACCACCATGGAAAACTTGGAAGCACTGGATGGCCGTTTCGTCCTAGTATAGGACTCCTCAGCAGTGCGCATCCACGATCCCCCCGCGAGATCCGAACCCAGGACCTATCAGTCTCGCGCGCGAGCGCTTAACCATTAGACCACTGAGGCGGCATCCAACGGTGTTAATGTCTAACTTCAACTAGCGCTTTTATTCAACTTTTAAATCATGATTTAGAATAGTTCAAACAAAATAAATAAATAATATGCAACAATAAGATAAAAGGGTAAAGCAAAAAAACATATTTGAATAACGTAGCTACGTTTGAAAGGCGATGAGTAGTACTTGTAATAACATAATAATAATGTATATTGACAATATACATACAAAAGAGAAAAAAACAAAGAGAAAACAAACGACAAAAGAGGAAATAAACTAGAGAAACAAAAACGAAAACAAAATAACTAAGAATGAAGTTTAAAAACAAAAAATAAGTAATCTGGTGATAAATTACTTAACAAAATAATAATAACGATAATAATAATAATAATAATGAATCTGTAAAAGGTACACATACATACATACAAAATAACTGAAATTATTTGCATTACAGAAGTGATAAAGTCAAAAAGAAAGAGAAATGAAAGAACACAATAAACATGGGTGTTGTTGATGTACTTTTGTTGTATATGGGGTATGTACATGAATCGAATGTACAAATTGAAAATGAGAATAGACAATCCAATTGATGATGATGATGAAGCGTAAATAAAAGTTGTATGATTATTTGATGTGAAAAAGGAAGAGAATAAAAAATGAAATGAGATAACATTGGATATCACAGCTACTATTAATATGAAAAGTACTAAGTAGTATGATAACAAGGGAGAGAAATTGAGGCGCATACATGATCAGTATTTTAGTAATAAATTATTCATTATTTTTTGTATAATATTCATTGAATAAATTTTTTACTAATTCAATACAAATCTTATTAGCAATTTGGAATTCTGGACCCAATAGACAAAAATTAAGAAATGCATGAGGTAAATTGTCTAAGACACGTACATCTACTGAGACATCAAGTTTAGAAAGACGTTTAGCTAACTCTAGTCCATCATCCAAAAATGGGTCGAATTGTGAACACTAGAGAAGAGAAACAAAGATTATATATATATATATATATATATATATATATAATGATATTCAATATATAATCATATTTAAAGCAAATATTGGTTACGTTGAATGATAGTTTTGATATCAAATAACTCAAAGGATGGCTTAGAGGTTAACGTACTAGACTTTTGACTACTATTTCACAGGTTCAAGTCCCACTTGATCTACTTTGGTTTGGACAACCAAGTAGTGTCACTAGCCTTTACAAATAATGTGGCCCAAAGACAATAACATGGATAAACGTTCGGTAAATTTCATTTTCAAACAGGTCCTAACTACTTGTTGGTGGGTTAGAATCTAGGTAGCTGCATAAGTGCTGGTGGGGGTGTGAGTGATGAGATCAATGCACGTATAGTGAAAGCCAGAGCGGCTTATGCCAATCTGGGCCATCTTTGGCGCCTTTGTGATGTTAGTCTGGCTGTAAAAGGTCGGATCTACAATGCGTCGGTGAGAGCAGTTTAGCTCTATGCTTGTGAAACCTGGCCTTTCCGAGTTAAGGATGTTAGACGACTTTCTGTGTTCGATCATCATTGTCTCCAAAGGATTGCTGACATCCAGTGGCAACAACATGTTAGTAATGCAGAGGTTCGGCATCATGTGTTCGGGCACAGAGACGATAGTGCAATTGGCGTCACCATCTTGAAACACCGACTTCGGTGGCTTGGACATGTTCTATGAATGCCGTCCCAGAGAATTCCACGTCGTGCATTATTTGCCGACTCTGGGACTGGTTGGGAAAAGCGGAGAGGTGGTCAGTGTATGACATGGTGTCGTGGCATGAAAGAAAGTTGCAAAGGACTGGCTTCTATTTATCCTTCACGACTCCACGGTTGGGGTCCTAGAGATGGTGCGACACAGTGGCTAGAGACGTTATCAGATATGGCTCAGAATAGAAGCCAGTGGCGATCCTGCTGTAACCTTCTTTTACTTTCTTAATTAAAAGTGGTTGTATCTTCCTTAACTGAAAGATTTCTTCTGATTGTACGTTTCTGTTTCCCCCATTATTATTTTTTTTATTACACTACCTTACACCAATCTGTTCGTTATTGTTCTTTTTTTTTCTCTTCGAATTCTTATTGTTTTGTGTGGCGCCCTCTTGTACCAATATTTGTGTTCAAACAAATAAAATAAATAAATAGAATCCCACCTCCTCTACTATATTTTAAGTAGACGTGTACAGTGTTACTAACGTTTACACGAACTACGGCCTAAAGCTATACGTATAAGTACTTGTAATTACTTAGTGATTTATATGAAACAAATTTAAATTAAAGACAAAGTATTCGTTCTGATGTTTCTGGTGTATAAATCTTATTAACACTGAACTACACAACAGATTTTCGAATACCATATTGTTATGAAGCAGCAAACACCGAGATTGTTATAACTTTCGGAACTATTTTACGGACTATTATTATTGTTGTTTACATTTTTATCATGTAATTATTAGGTAATAAGATTATTGCATTTCTACATTCCCAGTATTGCCAGCTTTCGTTGTACTCATCAATTACTGTTTTACGATTTAATATTTCTTAATCAGTCCTAATCATTTAAAGTTTGTTCCGTTCTCTGGTACTTATGGTATGATTGTATGTAAAGTAAGATTTTATATTTTGGTTCAGCGGTGGTCTGAAAGTTCATGTTAACGAGTGTCTGAGATTAATACACAGGGTACCCCACAATATGATAATAGAAGCTTGTCTGATGTGTTCTCGTGTTCGGACTGAAAACTGAGGATAGAACAAGGCGTGCGTATCGGTGGAGCAATAGGAATTAAGATTATCTAGGCCTCGATTCAGGGTTAATATTGCCAGTCAATACTTATTATTGATCGAATTTTAGGTTGCTAGGCTACAGATAAATTAGTAAACACAAGGTTGATAAACAGGATACTGATTATCAAATTTTCTTTCTAGATATCTATCAATTTGCAGTCATAACAGATATTAAATTCTACTTTTTTTAAGGATAATTAGGTTAATTATTTCCAGAAAAAAAACATATATACTTCAATCATTTTCTTGCCTTCATAGGAACACACATGCATGCACACAAAAACCCACTCCACTTACGACAAAAACAACAGGAGGTAATCCACGTAGCATATCATCTGAGGCTAAGTACGGTGACATGAATCCATTCTGAATTAAATGAATATTTCGAATACGGTTCAAATCAGTTCGGGGTCGATGTGGATGCTTCAATATTGGTGTACATTCATCCTCATTATGGCTTGGGTTTTTTTCTTTCTCTTCGTGAATTATGAAAACATGAGAAAATTCACTTGTAAGGGATAAGTATGAAGATCAAAAAAGCATCTAAGTTATACGGGACAAAATATAAGTGTAATGAATTCTTTTAGGTAACCACTGTACGATTAATCGAAATTCTTGGTGAGGTAACTTATCAAGTACAGGCTGGCCTACTCGATTTGGAATTGTATGGCTAATGATGTCCGGTTGTCCAAATTGAAGTAGGTAAAGCAAAACTTGAGTGTGCAGTCTAATGGTTGAAAGTCGGATGACTGAGCCATCGTGCTTCATTCAACATTGTCTGTTAGATTAATATAAATCAGGTGTACTGACTGACAAAATTAACTACAAAAAACATATTTTCTACCAAATGATGAATATTATAGTTGCTAGACCTCAATACTTAGTCGTAAATGTTTTATCATCCAGTTTAACACATTTATTATTATACGAATATTCGTCAAGATTAGAACGAATAGTTTGACAGTAATTGAGCGCCGAGTATAGAGAAGTCATTATATGTGAAAATTAATATTTGAAATAGTCTCAGCGATTGAAGAAGTCCAGACAAGTTAGGTGGACGAAACGTTGGAATTAGTTAAATTTCAATCGCTGAGACTATTTCAAATATAATTTTCACATATAATGACATTTATTATTAGTTTGAGTAAAGCAAGGATAACAATTAACGCATAATAATATGCACTCATTTTTGTGTTGTTTCGTAGGTATTCATCAACTGTTTCTATCTGTATTCATATTGAAATATAACATAATATTAAATAGAAATTGGAAAATTGAGGTGATACCGATTCTCAGTATTGTACGTGTTTAGGGTCAGTTAAAGATAAATATTTTTAAAAAACTTAAAGGCGGATGAAACGGTAATCAGTTAACTGAAGATTGTATAACATAATGCAAACAGTAACTATGGGGAATTTAATCAAAAATACCCATTTACCATATAACAGTGGAAAATCGGCAACTTTTTCCCTGAACTCATGAATCTACCTTGAATGTTTTTAATCGATGTTACTTCAGTGAAGTCTAATGAAATTACATCTTTTTGTCAGTTAATAATTTTGAAAAGTTTAAGAACGTCGACAACGTAGCCATTATGTATTAAATGTGTCCAGCTGTTGTACTGTCTGATTATTAATACTGATATATATTAAAAATACAAACAAACTGATTAGTCTATTTAAACTTATTACATCAAGTGTTCTTTTATGACTGACTGATCATTGAATAGTAACCAATGTTGCGTATGTCAAGTCCCTCTTAGCGCTGATCGAAATCTAAGTCCAAAGTTTCCTGTCAATCACCTCTAACCACCACCTTCCACACCAACATAATCCATGTGATATCGAGTTATTTGAACAACTAGCTACATTGAAGCTTGGTCAAAAGAATTAGATTAGCGCTAAAAACAACTAGGCAAACTGACTTTGGTCACTACTCAGTGGTCAATCAATTGTAAGCACATCTCAGTCTTACAGAAGCTCAGTTGTGACTCTAATAGCTCAGTGGTAACGCCTCTGACTATGAAACTGAGTGATACGTGACTAAATCTGCAAGTTTCATTTCTCTGAAGACTACATATACGCCTTGCTGACAAGTGTCAAACAGAACTAAACCAAGGTCCAGGACTTTCTATTGACTATCCCCAAACACCATCTTAAATTAAATGTTATCAACTTCATCAGAACAGAGTTTTAGAAGCAACCACAGTATTTTTTTAATATTTAGTACACTAAATGACACGTTAGACAGAATGTAGACGATAGATGCAAAATAACGAACCTGATTTATTTAACTTTGGGGATTTATGTGAGGAGTGAGATTCTTCACTTAACCGACATAAATTAGAAGGCACAGATTGATCTTTTGGATTTTTCAAATAAGCATCATAAAAAGAAGACATTGTTATGTTTGAATATCGACGTAAATGTTCAATTTTTAACTCTTTAGAATTATTTAAATCTGATTTCGATGGATTAGACCAAAGTGTTGAAAATAATCGAGACCATATTGGGGAATTTGATTCAGTTGTTAAGTTTGAAGGATTTTTATCAACTTCGAAATCATCAAGTTCATCAGAATTCAATGTTGCTTCGTCTATACCAGCATAAGCTATAAACAATAAAGTGATAAGTCAATTAGATTGAAACATGATTATCTACTTAAAAGTATCGATGCCAAGGTTGGACTTGATAATTTCAAATAAATTGAGCACTGGGTAGAAAGTTAATAATAAATATATTTTATAAGTATCTACTATATTTCTGGGAAAATGTTAGGTTTCACATCAAAATGACAGTAATCATAATATATTACCCCTCAGTCAACCGATCATAAGGAATATAAAACCTAGCATATGTATGGGTCGGTTCATCTTATGACAATATCTCAGCACAGAGAAAAGAAATGATCAAGAAAATACCAGAGTAGTAAAAGTGGTAACAGTATTAGTGATTGCAGAAAAGACGTCATACAAAATATGAATCAGGAAGAATATATATATATATATATATAGACTAATATAGTATAACACAATTTTAAAACTGAAGACCTAAAAGAAGACAAAGAGTTAGTGTAACTGTGTAATTGAATTTGATTTCGAGTAATATCACCCAGCGTCTTACAACCATTGGTTACGATAAATACTAGTAACCTCCGAATATCCTCTATTTTTAAAGGCCATGCTCCACAATCATCAAATAAAACAGAACGAACTGTGGAGCAGTATACTCCCACCATTAGTTGATAAATGGATGGGTCTCGGATACGCCACAGATGTAAATTCGCGAAATTCAATCGGCCTTTCTTAAGCCATACTGAGATCCTTTCAGACACTAATCCACCAGTTCTGATGAGACTTACAAAAAAGTGAAGTGTCCGACACGCTCAGCTACTTTGTTCCACCATTAATTCAGTCGTTTTAAACCAACATATCGCCACAATACCAGTACTAACAATAATATTATTTCTCGCACTATATGTATAACGTTATTTCATAGTTCAAGAAGCATCATATTCGAACCAGATTATTATTTATTTATTGTTTATTATTATAAATTATAATTCAGAAATATATGACCATCTGACAGATAGCCATTAAATTACGACAATGTGTCTATAGACTCATTAGTGACTGTTTGGTAGTTTCAACTCCAATTTACAACGATCTAGGTAGCCGTGTAGAATTAATAAACTTCGTATTACGTGTGTAACTAGCATCTGAGTTATTCAACCTATGATTGATTAATGAGTTACGGTTAACTTGGCAAATGTATAAATATACACTCAAGTGAGCTTACCCAATAAACACTTAGCAAGAACACCAATAGGAAGCAGGGGATCACAAAGTGATAATAATCTTGAAGGAGATGGTGTAAAAGAAACCAATACAGGCGTATAAGCCAAAAATATCCCATTTGGTTTATTAAGTAAGCCATCTCGTACAGCGCGCATACAAACACCCAGTGCCAGATTCCCACCAGCAGAATCACCAGCAAGAACAATTTTCGCATCTGATGTACAACCTAATTTTTCACGATTTAATGTTATCCAACAATAGGCATAATAACATTCTTCTAATGCACGTGGATAAGGCGCTTCAGGTGAAAGTGAATAATCAACAGCTATAATTGGACAGTTCAACTGTTCGGCCCATATACGTAGAAAGTTCTAAAATTAAATTAGATATTGACATAATGACTCGTGAATACATTAAAAAATACAAATAGATAAGTATCCTAGATTGCATTACTGATTGATCTTACTTAGCTATTGAAAACCAAAAAGCACTAGATAGCTGTTTTATTGGGTTGTGAATGCGCACTAACGAGCAGTTCCATACTGCTGTTGGGACAAATATTGAGCAAAAACTAGCTTTCAAAATCTTCCTATTTGAGATTGTTCTTTGTAGTTTTGCTGTATGATTATTCAATAATTAAAGTATTATATACTTGTATTGCTCTACCTATAAGCTTTTGTTTGACGCATAAACCATTGTTGTGTGTTTTACTTTTCCTATACCATTGTTAGTCAACCACGGATTTATCATTCAGTCCTCTTCAACTTATGGTTCAGTTATCCTCAATATTGTAGTTCCTCAATTCCATTGATGTGTGGTCAGGATTCTATCCTATATTGTTGTGTGAGTGATTCGTAAGTTTAAACTGAGTAATCAGACGTTATCTGCTTGTTAAGTTCTTCTCTATTCTGGATGTCGGACGAGTGAGAGAAGCAGAGTGAAACTGCAGCCTGGACCAATAGTCAGTTAGTGGTACTCTCGGTTTTTACCTCCCATTTAGCGTGTCATTGGTTGGCCGAAGGTCATCGTTGCTAGATAGATAGATAGTCTAGGCAAGCCAATCAATACTCGGACTAGATCCATACAGTATGATACCACGGGCCCAAATGAGTACACAAGAAAATCTGTTTATTTTTACTGACACATCACATACTGCAATCAAACAGTTATTCAGTGCTTTCTTGTTTCCAATGGTTGTCTAAGGTTAACCCACGATATAACTTAAGAAAACCCTACAACATCAATAAACCCTTTAGAATAATAGAAACAAAAATCAAAATCTTTAAAATAAGTAATGAACATTTTGAATGGAGAAAATGGCTTACATGAAAAGATCAGTAGAGAATTTAGTTTGGTTGATTTTGGATCATGAAACAAACAAACTAAACTTTAAAAACTACATTTGTTTTCAGTTTCATAAGGATAAAATTTGCATTGAGTGTGTGATATCATTCGGATATAATGAATACAATCACTTGAGAATTTATTTGTAAAAAATAGTAAGTAATCATTGTCAAATTTTCACAGTTGTTAGAATGGTTTAAATCATAGGTGTTCTGTTTCATTTTTTAAAGTCATAATCACACCGTTTAGATTACCAGATCTACAAGCGCTGGATAGTTTGAGTACGAAAATACCTGCTTCGGTTACGGCACCCGATTCGTAGCCCAGCCCTCACACAAATCGAATGATTTATATGGAGCATATCTATTTGGTGCCTCCTTGTACCAATGTTTGTATGTTTAAATAATAAAATAGTAATAATGGTTAGTGATGTTATGGATATTTATCAACTGATATAGCTTGGAAATTCGTTGTGCTTTCTATGCATTGCCAAACCAGATGCACAACAGTTACTACCAGTACAGCAACAAATTGGAGAAAATCTAGAGACCATCGAACAGGGTCCTTTTAAACGTCTGTGGACCCCAAATACTGCGGCTAAGGGTGGAGAGAGTCAGCTCCCCCTCTTGAAATGCTCTCACATAGCAACATCAATACAGCCATTGTCAGGGAAGTCCTACTCAATTCCTTCTCGCAGCGGTGGTGTTGTTTACCAAAATGAGAGGACGAAAAGCGAGTATCCAGTGCTTTAGCCGGGTCACTGGGTATGGAGGGTACATCTAGGGGGGTTGAATAACCCTGATTCCAAACCAACGGTGTACACGGGCTGACTCCAGGATCCTGAGGGAACAAATGCCGTATGCACCTATTGTTGGTCACCGTGTACCATGGGACTGCTATCTCCCAGCGTTGCTTCACTGACTTGTAAATTAGACCTCTAAGTCAAAGGCTTGGCGGGTGGCCTCCTAAGAAAACCACCTATTTGGGTTTAGGCACCCGGACAGTATTCTAGTCCTCGCAAAAATCGAATGTTCTGTGTGATGCATACATATTTGCTGCCTCCTTGTACCAATACTTGTAATTAAGTAAGTAGTTAAATAATAGTTCGTAAGGTCACTTGTTGTCAATCAGAGACCTATTCGTAGATGCGGACTTCCTGGTTAATGTTTACGACAAAGTAATGGATGAATAGTAAGTGAGCCCGGATTTTAGCCACTAAATCACATATTCTATACCCACTCTGCTTACTTTATTTTCAGCAACAGCGTAGTATCACTAGTTTTCACTGGACAATCACGATTCGCAGTTACAGATGAGCACCTACACAAATTAGCTATCTATGTTTGATATCAAGGTTGTCATACATTGACCGCTGGGTAAGGCAACTTAAACCGATGTATATACGTACTAGTTTTCACGTTGTATTTGATTAACTGACTGCTTTGAATTTTCTGACACCTAAACTAAGGTTTTGTCAAGTTTCTAACAATTAAGTAGTTTCAATTAGCCAGTGACAATAAAAAGTATTATGAACACAATAAAGAGAAAGTAAGACAACTTAACAGGTTGTGTGTACTAATCAATAAAACATACGTGTCATTATGTGATAATAAGGATGCAAATGCGACTTACATCCTGTGACTGAGATGTTAAAGCAATAAATCCACCACCGTGTACATAAAACAATACATAAGGTGATTTATTTGTATTATTATCAGTTGAAGTGTTTGAAAATTTAAAACTTTCGTACGAATAACGACGATCATTTGAACTTGATAAAACAACAGATGACGAATCGTTGGATGGAAAGAATCGTGAATTGTACGATAGTAATGGTGATACTGAATTTTTGCTTGAGTGATGATTTGATTGATTTATACAGTTAGGCGATTCAAAAAAATTAGGAGATTCAGACGTCCGAGTCCATTCTAAACCAGATCTAAGATGACGACATAATATACGCATTCCTAGTGGAGCAGTGCCAAAATGTGATTTTGGTGGTTCTATTACAATGAATTCTGTTTAGAAAATCAACATAATAAATATGGGAATGACGGTAAAACGAAAGTACGAAATACCACTTTGATTATCAATCTATCAGTAAGTCACATGCAATAAGTGCATCGGTTCAAGTTGCCACAACATTACACTAGTACAATGAGATAAAATTATCAAAACAAGTCACAGGTTAGTGGAAGTAGTAAGTATCAGTAATGGTAGTTACAGTAGCAGAAGAGATTAAGTATAGAAAAAAAGGAAACGAAAAATATAAGGTGATTTCAGAATCCAGGATCTAAGAAAAACTCAAAGAGTAGATGCACATGAGGAGGATTTGAAGTCACATCACTTAGGGTTTTTAACCATTGGGCACGATAGTCACGCAGACCCGAACTAAGTAGCCAACACCTACTTGAATGGCTCAGTTCAGTGATCAATAACTGGTGTTACATACTGTTTTGACCGCCATCATACATCTTCTAGCCTACTTCTACACCAAACAATATTACTGTAAGTAGGTGTTTGGAGATACTTAACACATCTATCTTAGTTGATGAAAGTTCACCATCTTATCAACCGATTTGACATCTTTACCTAATACCCTGACCACTAACATCAAAATTGCTCAATCATTAGTTCCAAAATACACCAGCATTGGTTCAAAGACACTTATGGTCCAATATTAGTAATTTACAAATTTCTTATTTTCTTTGTCCATCAAGTACAACAGAGAGAACTGCTGAGCAGTAAGCTTATCCTTTGGTTGGCAGATGGACAACTCGCCTACGCCATAAGTGACGCGAATTGGCAAAGATTAACTGAGCTTCTTAAATTAGTGTCAAAATATCAATTTAGGTTGTGTTATATCTGAGCGAAGATTAAATCACGAGTAACTTCCGAGACATATTAATGGACTATTATTATTTATATATTCTTATGGTATAACTATTCAATAATTAGATTATGTATATTTATATTCTTCTTATTATATAAGCTTTATTTGGACCTATAATTTATTATTGTACGATTTATTGTTCTTAAGCTATATTCAGTTTATTGACTACTGCCTGCCGCGTTCCCAGCCACTTTCTTGGCTTTATTGTGTAGAAATGTTATTTCCTATTTTATGGTGCGTTGCGGTCTGTTTGGTTGATATATAAACCCAGTATGTCTGAAATAAATGATTCGATTCGATTCGCATATTGGAAGCTGGTATTGTGTTCTGGACTCAAGTGGACGGGCCAGGCGGACATATGACCAATAAGGACGCTAGACTGCTCATACAGGTCGAACGTCATTGGTTTGGCACAGTGCGAAAATTGCACAAGTCGTATTTTGATTGGCGGATAGATCACATGATAAAAAGCCAGACATAAAGTCATAACAGGCTGTTTATTCGTTGAAGAAACATCGGAATCTACAGAGCAGTAGTGTGTGTTGTTCTACGGTTGAGGCATATGGATATATATTTTATAAGCTGAAAGTTCGAAGAAAGAAATTTGTCGCGTGATGTCCGTTACAGGAGAACTTGTAATAATATTATACTAAAAGCACAAAAACAAAATGTTTCACCAAGATGCATCAAAAGTTGTAAGCAGAAAAGGTTCGTGCAGGGAATTTGCATATTGACAAGTAACGGGATATCAGTTGAGATATTCCCTAATGGACCTCAGTTTTGACCACTGAAGTGTACCTAAGCGATTCACTGATTGAATTTCCCCCAAATGCCCTGGTACGGTTAAGGGTGGAGAGAGTCAGCTCCCCCTCTTGAAATGCTCTCACATAGCAACATCAATACAGCCATTGTCAGGGAAGTCCTACTCAATTCCTTCTCGCAGCGGTGGTGTTGTTTACCAAAATGAGAGGACGAAAAGCGAGTATCCAGTGCTTTAGCCGGGTCACTGGGTATGGAGGGTACATCTAGGGGGGTTGAATAACCCTGATTCCAAACCAACGGTGTACACGGGCTGACTCCAGGATCCTGAGGGAACGAATGCCGTATGCACCTATTGTTGGTCACCGTGTACCATGGGACTGCTATCTCCCAGCGTTGCTTCACTGACTTGTGAATTAGACATGTGAATAACATGTAAAGAAGACTAGTTTGGGTGTCGTTTTGACAACCTGGAGGCGTAGCTGTGGAGCCTAAGTGATAACTTCTTGAGGTCAGTTGAATACGGTCTTTATGCGAGTACTAATTAATGCGTTAGCTCCTTACTTTAGAAGCCATAACATGAGCGACGAAAATCCATTGGGTAAGGTGAAGTGTTAATTTTAGGATCGATTTTTTTCCAACTTCCTCCTGTTGTGAGTTTTAATTACAACAATAACTCTGAGATAAAAGTACTTTCATATGACAATACCCGAATATAATGAATCCTATTGAATTAAAATTAAGACTCACTTAGAACTAAACGATCCTACTAATAAACCGGGATAGATGAGAAAAATATATTCCCACGACAGACAGATTGGGTTTTCTGATACATATTTTGGAAACATTGTCCACCAAAAATGTTCGTGGACTGATGGTTGGTAACTTCTTAAATGTTAACCATTAACAAACCTGAAAGAACCTGGTAAGTTTTAGACGTGGTATTATGTAACACACAGACTTGTACTTTTACGTGGCTCTCGCCAAGAACACGACTATTTTGTTACAGACATTAATAGGTATAAAGTACCGTGGGAAAATCCGTCGATGAAACCACTACTATATACTAACCTCGTTTAAAAAAGTCTAATCGAATGTATGACTCAATTATTTCTGCAACCAAGACATCTTGCTATGTTTTACTTTGTTATTTAGTTACACTACAACATAGAACTAAATTATGGATTATTCACATTAAGACAATATATACACTTTATTAGAGCAACAAACGAACCTCTTCCGTTTTCTCGAATACTCATATCTAGAGGTATTTTTAGCGATTTTGTTTGTAATTTGAAAGAGCGAGCTACAGCCATGGAAGGTAGAATTACATTGGGGGCTTCAGATACTACACGTAACTCTGCTAAATTCCAAAATGCTTTACAAAATTGAACACTGGAATTTCGTGTAAGCTTTGCCAGCATCTTGCCGCGGTCTTCAGGGGATAAGTAAGAAGTAACGGACCGATAAACTGTGTTGACTAAGCTGACAATTCCTTGTTTGCTAGTCTAAAATATTTGTAAAACAAAAAACACCGTTATTTACCAGAATATAAGCCATAGATTATGAAAACAAGCCGCTCAAATAATTAGGTTCGTAAGCAACAAGTTGAGATAATTGGTGTGGTTAGTCATCTGAATTATTTCCTGCTGACCAGTACTAAGATCTGTGCGCAAATTCTATTGTTTCAAACTGATTTGTATGATGTACCTGGACCAAAGCGAGTGTTCTTTTTCTAGGTAGGTGCATCCTACCTAGTTGCGGGTCATAAATGATACACTTGTCCCAAGCTCTGTGTTGTGGATGACTGACAGGCTGTTCTTCTAGAACAGGACAACTTATCCAGTTGTATAACTCACCAGGTCCTTGGATATGAGCCAAAATGTATAACAGCTCATGACACTATATGCCTGCTCAAACCGAAGTAGGCAAAGCACAGTTCAAATCCGGGATTTCGTGACTGAAACTTAAACTTCTCAACCACTGCACCATATATAAAGGACCTTTGCTATGATATGATTCTACAAACTAATATTTTCTTAAACGACATAATTAATTTTGAAAGCATAAATGTTTTGCATATTTAACCTACTTTGGTTTAAATTTAATACGACTTAGTAACCACGTAGAGGTTCGTGCATTCAGCTTAAATTTACACCATCTGAGAGTTAATGAAATTGCACGATTCTCCTTTCCCCTCCAAATGGTAAGAAGTCAAGTAATTTAATCAGTGAACTTTCGAGTTAGATATCAAAATTTACAAATGAACGGTCTAGTATCGGAAATGGTCAGAGATTTACTTTAATAAAGAGAAAGGAATTTCGCTAAAACAACTTTAATAGGTGTTTTGATATCATAAATTCAAGTACATTGGACTAAAGTTACTCATATTAAATAAATAGGTGTGCTTACCGAAAAGCTATTACCATATCCCACCATAAACGAATTGAGGAACAGCAAAATTCTCTGAGCACTAGGGCATAAGTAAAAGGCTAGACAACGACCATAAAAATATTCTTGTTTTATACTGTCTGATAGGACTTCTAGTCGGTAGAACTCTGAAAGATCTTCTTGATGCTGTTTTGATTTGACAGTAGAATATGCATCGGTAATATTTGTCGGTTTGTCATCAAAACTGCTTACATCACAATGTCCAATTTCCGGCAAATCGACGAACTCAGATCGAGGGAAAAGCGTACAAGGTTTAGTGAAACGTGGTAGATAACTAAGAACTTCAAGACACAGGCTGAGCTCCATAAGGCAATTGATATATGCTATCACGCTTTTATGTGTTATACCAGACCTAACGTTAATAGGAAATTATAATCTTGTATTATGATCAAATATGGGTATAATATGTACGATAATGTTTACTATAGTACACGTAGAAATTATTAATTCTTATATTACAAGCAATCCAATAGGTTAGAATGCCATCTAAAACCGACTATTTCAAAAAACCAATACTGAGTATATGCGGGATCACAACCATAATTGTCAATATCTTGTTTTCTTCAAAGTAATCCCTGAAAATCTTAAAAAGAGAAAAATTTTGTTATCCAACAGGTCAAAAGGTTCTGATTGAAAATAGGATTTATATAAGGTAACCTAAACTACTTGATGCTTAGTTGTGTAGCCAATTGAAACAGTCACATAGACAAATCACCAGTGTCAAGGAATGAAAAACAACTGTTCACTGTAACTAAGTGCTTGAATGAGATTTTGGGTCAAATTAATACAACACGACGTTAGTCAACCCTAAACATACACCCCTATAGTTATTTAAAATGAGTTTTGAAGTACTGGATAGAATAACTGAGGCTTACAAATAAAAAATAATCTGGTCAAACTAGTTTCGATCATTGATTAAGTTAACTTATGAGGGGACAGAAGTCCTCTTGTGAGAACCGCATTGAAATCTTTTTGGATAAGTCCCTTCCAGTATACTTTTTTACGACTTATCAATCAACATTGGCAGGAAGATATCGATAAAAGTAGCTAAGTGATTGCAGTTTTTCTGTGATTATATATCTGACCAGACGTCCTCTGATAGACCTAAAATGGTTGTTACAATGAGTAGTCAGTCAGTCAGTAACAACGTAGAACTTCGTACGTACATCAGTTCAAGTTGCCATACCACATTAACACACATACAATTGTTGATTCAAACCCCATAGTGGTAGAGGTAGTAAAAGTGTAAGCAGTAATCGGAAAGATTAGGGTTTGAAGATGTTATTCAAGGAGTATAATTCAGTGAAATAAATTTGAAGAGAGAAAAAAAGAGACGTGAAGAATTCAGAAGATTAGAATTTGGGAGAACACAAAGAGTGGATGCACCTGCGACACTGCAAACGATTTTGCCATTCAAGGTCTCTAACCATCGGTTGTTATCATCTCGCGGTCCCCAACCAAGTAGTCTACACCTGCCAACACAACCCAGTCCACTTGTCAGTGACTTCATGGATTTGTGCCATGTGTTGGCCTGACCGCCTCTAGCTTTTTTCCAACCTACTCCTACACCATAAAACATCGCACGTCGAGTCAGTTGGTGGTTGGGCATACGTAACACATGTCCCAGCCATATCAAGTGATTATTTTGTGACCTTTATTTTAAATCTCCATTACTCATCTTTCAACTGACAAGTAACTAATAACCATAACATCTTGGTAAAGCATTTTGTACATATACAATAGCGTGAATTCTCTTACATTGTTTACATTCTTAATCAGTTGGCCAGTAGTTTTGTCGCCCAAATTCCATTTAGGTGGGATCGGTAGATCGGTTTCGTGGGTAAATTACTGGTGTAGACGCCACAATCATTCCAACAATTGCATTGATCGACAGCCTTTACGACGGTAAGCAGACCACGTAAACTGCTTCATTCATTTATTTAAACACATAAAAATTGGTACAATGAGGCACCAAATATACATGTGCCACACAAACCTTTTAAACGAATATTTCCACATTCACTTCGTACCTGTAGAATTAACGACCAGTACCACAACCAAAGTAGAGCCTAGGATGTGTGTATCAGTCAAAGTCACCACACAGCAAAATGATGAAATACAGTGAGAATTCAGAATAGATTTAACAGGGGAAGCAGTTTAGGAGCAGTGTATGGTGGTCAAGCATGTAGATAACTGCTTATTCAGAAAGCTATTTGATTCATGGAGTTGACAGACTAAGTAAAGACGAGTGAAAAGGATTTTTTGCATTAAATAGGAATTACTAGATCCAGCTACACCACCTTTAGGGATAGAGATACTTGACAGTACATCACAGAAGAGCAATTCGTTTGGTCTTGAGATAGGTATTGAAGAGTCACAACTCGTGCATAGTAGAACCATCGAATGAACACTATCGAAGTGAGAAGCCCAGAACAACGAACAAACTAACGGAGTGAACTTCGAACGAATTAATTAATCGAGTCATGAACTACATCTACCTTGACATACAGTGCTGACTCAAGTCAGTCAGTCAGTTACAACGTAGGGCCAGGCACATATATGCATCAGTTCAAGTCGCCATACCTCAGTAGCACAGCAAGATGAACACCGGATTCATAGGGGTGGTTAAATCAATGGTGGTAATATATAAAAGAAAGATTGTAATATAAGGATAGTACAGAAAGAAAGAATTAGTTGGTAGGAAGAAAGATATGAAGCGATTTTAATCTAATAGTTCAAAGGAAGACAGAGTGAATACACCTAGGCCATTGTGACCAATTCTGAGCCATGTCACCAAGAGTCTCCAACCACTGGTTACGATAGTCACGCGGACCCCAACCAAGTAGTCTGCATCCACCAACATGACACAGACCAGAAGTTAGTGACTTCAAGGACTGATGTCACGTTTTAGTTTGGCCGCCCCTAACTTTTTTACGACCATCCCCAACACCGGTTAGCATTGCACGTCGTGGTAATCGGTGTCCAAGCATACACAACACGTGGCCCAACCATCTCAGTCGATGAAGATTCACAACCTCATCAAATGGCTTACCACCATACCCTAATACTCTGCGTCTAACCTCACTATTACTTACCTAGTGATCCTAGCATATGAGAGCAATTCCAGTAGTATTAATTGCCAAAATTTAAGCCACAAGGCAGGATCTATTAAATCACTGGGTTTCGCATTAACTAGCGTGAGAAGTAAACTTTCTGATTGGGGTCTTAAGGACTATTTACATAAATAGAGATCTGAGTTGATATTCAGAATCTAAAATTGTTGTATGAATGCATTCACCCATTATTTTCCAAACCTCAAAAGTATCTTTATTTACTCTCCTACTGACCTTTATAGTAGTTCCACAATGATAATTTCACTTAAGGATGAGTCGTAGAGAAAATTTAGAAGGTTTTAATAGTTTACGAATTCGCCTAAACGAAAATAGTGAATCTGGTTAAATCTGGTCTTACCAGTTGGAAAGGGAATATGAACTCATTTGCCGAATGTACATCAGCAGAATAGCAGAGCATCTCGTAGTGATGGCCAAAAAGCTTCGGATGCCATTCGCCCGCAAAGAGCCGAAATCATAATCACCTGCTATCGAATACAAATATTTAATCCTTGAAGAAAAGCCCGAGTTCAACAGAGCATGAAGTTTTTTTAAGGCACAAACGATATCGCTTTCCGACTGAGAACTTTCGGTATTTTCATCATCTATTTCGAGATTAGTTCGAATAATTGTGAGGTACGTTCTGCACTAAGAAAATATACAAGACTCGACAAGTCGTTATTACTTGTAGATGCAGTTCCGAACACAGCCGTACCATTTGTATGCATTCCGAACTATCCAGTGATTCTTTATTTTCATCTACAGAAACCAAACTACAATAAGCAAACAGAATTCGTACTCACCATTATTTGCACTGAACATACTAAATTTTCGATCCATATTGAGTTTGCTGCTAAGTATCCTTACAGAATCGGGTTTCTAAAGGAAGGTATTTAACAATACAAGTATCATAGAACCTCAAAATGGAATCTTAGTTCATCAGGATGCACCGCTGCACATCTCCATAAGCATCTACATCTCGACAACCCTAATAAGCCCCCAATGGTTCGTAGCATATGACCTCATGTTTTGAGCGATTCAAACAGACTTCGAGTAAACGCTTTTTAAATTTTAGCTATGAAGAAAGAATACTAATGTGTTTTTTTTCGCTTGGTCACTATGCTAGTTCATTTGCTCCCTTTTCTCTTGACTTAGTGATTCGAGGGGCGAGATACTGCTTCTTACCCAAGCAACCCAAAAAGGGGAAATAAAGGCGAAGAAAGGGGAAATAAAGGGTTAAATGCTTTGGTGGCGAAAGGGGAAATAAAGGGGAAAACGCATCAGAATGTCGCCTTTTTCGCCTGTCCGAGGGAAATAATGCGGATTTTCCCCTTTTTCGCCTTTTTGTCGACAAATTACCGACTTATAGCCTAAATATCCGCTGAATTGTCGCATTTTCGCCTAAATATCCGCTGAATTGTCGCATTTTCACCTAAATATCCGCTGAATTGCCTACTTATGCGCTTAATTGTCTACTTTTCGCCTAAATACACACATTACCTCCTATTTTCTATCCATCGACAGAACCCCAAAGGTCTCCTATGTTCAGTTTCAGTTTCAGTTTCAGTTTGGGAAGGACAGGAGGCTCGATGGCCTATGTTAGTCCTGGCAATGGTGGTCTCTCAGTTGATCCAACTTTCTTTTGAAAGAGACGACGGATGGATCCTCAACCACGTGCTGAGGTAGTGAATTCCACTCGTTGATGATTCGATGGGAACGTCGATAGTCAGCTGACAAGTAATTTGTTCTCGGCTTATGAACTTTTTTGGAGTGTCCACGTAAATTCTCTCTTTTGGAAGACAAGAAAAATGAGGGCATGTTATGTGCAAATTTATCACTAAGCAATTTGTAGACTGTAATCAAGTCGCCTCTAGTTCTGCGATATGACAACGGGAAAAGGTTCAGCTTGGCCGGTCGAGCTTCATACGGAAGCTTCGCTATTCCGGGAACCACCTTAGTCGCCGTTCTCTGAACCTTTTCCAGAAGCTCTCTGTCTTTTTTAAAGCAGGGGCTAGCCGCTTGTATGCAGTACTCAAGTTTAGGACGAACGAACACTGTATACAAAGTCAAAAACGTCTTAGCGTCGACATGACTAAAAGCTCTACGTATTGACCATAACGTTCTAAAACTTTTGGCGGCTATTGCACGGCAGTGTGCAGTAGTCTTTAAGTCTTGACTAACGATAACTCCTAAGTCATTATATGTCTGGACGACAGGTAGCTCAGTGTTATTCATCGTGTATGTATCTGTGCCTTGATGACCGATATGCATCACAACACACTTGGAAGTATTTATCGGCAACTGCCATGTTTGAGACCATTCAGATAACTTCTTCAGGTCATTTTGAAGTTCTAAGCTATCACTCTTACATCGTATCGTTCTCCATATCTTGACATCGTCAGCATATAGCAAGACCGATGATGATAGGAGACAAGGAAGGTCATTTACATACAAGAGGAATAGCACTGACCCCAAAACTGTACCCTGGGGCACTCCACTAAGCACAGTTCCGCAGCTAGATAACTTTGAGTTCACCCTTAATCTTTGTTGACGCCCAACTAAGAAGTCTTTTATCCACATCAATAAATTGCCTCTAATCCCGACATTTCTCAACTTATATAACAGCCGGTTGTGCGGAACTTTATCAAAAGCTTTACTGAAATAAATGAAGGCTACGTCTACAGGTAGCTTTTGGTCCTTAAGAGCACACCAGCTTTCACGAGCCACTAATAAGTTAGTGAGACAAGAATAACCAATTCTGAAGCCATGCTGCTTCTCCGATAGGATCCGGTTTTTATCGAGATACTTAAACAGCTCCTTCCGAATAATCTTTTCTAAGATTTTAACAACCACACTAGTTAGGCTAACGGGGCGGTAGTTCTCAGGTTTGTGTTTCGTGCCTGTTTTGAAGACAGGACTTACTATGGCGTTTTTCCAATCTTTCGGTAAGCGACCCTGCGTAACGGATAGGTTAAAGCATGTACTTAAAGGGTTCGCAACGAAGTTAGATAATTTCTTCAGTAGCCTAGGATGTAATTCATCGGGCCCCAGGTATTCACCTATGTCAAGCTCATTTAGTAGACTAAAGACATCGAGCTCTTTAATGGTCACGCTATCCAGTGTATGTATGGGGGGATCGGTATACGCTGGCGAGAAGGGCGCTTATATGGTATACACGTTGCTAAAGTAATTCGAGAACGCTTGAGCCTTACCAAAGTCGTCCTCCACTAATGATGAAGCAGTACTGTCTCCCATAGAGCAGGAATATTTCTTTTTCTCCTTGTCCTTTTGTTTATATAGGAATACAAGCGTTTAGGACATTCTATGGATTCCTTAACAGATTTTTCTTCGTACAATTTTCTAGACTTACAGAGGGTCGAGGCACAAGTGTTCCGAGCCTTTCGATACTGAGATTTTGACTCATCAGTCCCCAGTAACCTAAATCTATCCCACGTTTTCCTTTTCTTACGGAGAAGGATACGAACCTCCCTACTGGACCATGGTGGTGAGTTTTTCGGCCCCTTTGGTATAGTCCAAGGGATGTGATGTGTGGTAACTTTTAAGTATGATTTTCGAAATGCGTCCCAGGCCGTTTCAATGGAGGACTCTGGGTCTATTGTCCAATCTATTAACGATGCTGAGTGCATGATGTCTGGTATGTTTGCTTTCCAGACGTTGGGTCTGGACTGGACTGACGCGTCCTCATGACTGGCAGTTATATGGAAGTTGAAAGTTAAAACTGCGTGGTCACTTTTACCTAAGGGTGGCATATGGTGGAGGTTCGCAACATCATCCTCATAGTGAGTCAGTATAAGATCTAATAAGGATGATTCAGTGTCCGGATGGTACCTTGTCGCTTCTTTCACATGTTGCACTAGAGCACATGTGATAACCCCATCAACTAGTTCCTGCTCGAAAGAATTCTCCGACGATTTAGTTCTCAGATTTTCCCAGTCTACCATAGGTGCATTAAAGTCCCCTAGGATTAGATATCGACCACTTTGGGACCAAGTATTGAGACTGCTTAACAGGATCTCATTTGCCTCACAGCTTGGACTGCGATAGACCAAACTAATCAGCAGCTCTTGTCCCTTGCATTTCAAGAGGCAACTAACTAATTCACGCGTCACACTCTCATGCGATACACTGTCGATAATGGCAAATGGGATAGCATTCCTAATGAGTAGAGCTAGTCCCCCTCCCTTACGCTTTTGTATTCTGTCGGCCCTTACTAACGTAAAACCCTCGAAATCAAGTTCCATACTATCTATAGCATGTGTCAGCCAGGTTTCTGTAACTGCGATTATGTCTGGCTTTGTAGAGTCAATCTGTACACCTAGTTCCGATCGCTTATTAAGTAAGCTTCGAATATTAGTGTAACAGATCTGGGGCCCATTTAAGTGGCTTCGTGCTTCACCCAGAGTGGCTTCGGCATCATTCTCTGTCGAAGTCTTACAACCCGAAAATTTACAATTTTCAGGTCCTTTTCGCCAGCGTCTAACCTATGTTGCAGTTCTTTCTCGGCTTCCCATCTTTTAACACGGTCTGCCAACGGTAGGTCCTTTCGGACAAAGACTCCTGAACCCTTTAATTTGTGTCCATTTTGTAAAATTAGGTCACGTTCGTTTGAAGAGCCGAATACTACTTTAAGCAGTCTGGAATGATTTGGTTTCGAGTCCGTTAGACTCCCTAGTCTATACACCTTTAGCAAGGTGACCCCAGTGATATTTTGAGGCATGAGTTGATTAGGCAGCTGCTTAATCAGTACAATGTCATGCTCAAAACGAGTTTTAGGTTCAGAGCTATCACTCTCCTTAATTCTATGAAAAATAGCTGATCTGTCGCTATGATCAGCTTTCGATTTTTCAACCACTTTTACGGGGGCAGGTTTCCCTTTTATATCAATACTTTTCTTCCTTACAACTTTTACCCATTCGTCAACGGTGCTGGTAGAAGCAATAACAGTTGCGTCAAACCTAGTGTTGGGTTTTGGGGGGTTGTCGACGACCTAAGGGGTCGTGTTATGTTTACCATTTGAAACCGATCGAGCCTTGCGATTGCGGCTCCTAGGTGTTTCCTGTTGGATCCCATCTGGGAGACGGGGAACAGAAGACCCTACTTTTCTTGAGCTTTTTTTTAAGGCAGGCCCCTTTGGAAACTGCTTTTCCTTCTTTGACTGAAGTGAGTCATCTATTATCGAACTAACCTTAGTTTCCATCACATTGATTTGCGTGTCAACAGATCGAGTGCTGTTTGACGCGTTCCGACTACGCTTGTTAAAACACTTCTTTGCAGCATCAACCAGTGAGATGGCCTCGGTTAACAAGCTGTTTGCATCCGAGCAGCACTGTTGACAAAGCCACACACAACCCTTCTTACTGAACCGTTTGAAAGCAGCAGGCGTTAAGTTCGTGCAAACTTCATGGTACCAGCCTTTGCACTCGTCGCACTGCTTGCCGCTTTCAACAGGATAACGACAACCCGGACGTTGGCAACTGCTTTTTTTACACTGTCCGGTCATTTAGGAGGGGTTTTTTCAATATGCGATGATACCCAGAGACAAAAAATTATCAATGACCAAAAAAAAGTGAAGAGCTGTAGATTGCTAGGACCAAAAGTACTAACAGATACAGTTGAAAAAGAGGTACTAAAGAGTACCAACGACAAAACAGTAAAAACGATACTTTAGTCGAATACTTTAACTGAAATAAATTCAATTAAAGTGGAAAACGGTAGTCTTGATACGTAATAAACGATCAAAACAATGAAATTTACTCAGCGAGGAAAAATACCACTGTCCTTTTTAAATAGCGCCTTTATTTTCAACTACAGACCAAAATATATCTGCAATGCCGTGGAAAAGCGGTAAATATTTAAAAAATTTTATTTAAAAAGAAAAGCGTATGATTGTACAACAGTAGAGCACAAGCTTAAGCATCGATTGTTATGCATATCCAATGCAATTGTTAATTCATTGTTATTTGAAATTATCTGAAAAAGAAGAAACAGGTTATAA